TGAAGTGAATGTGATCGATGAAGAAAATGTTAAAAAAGAAGAAACAGAAGAGGGAAGCTTAAAATTCGATGGACAAAGTATTATTTCAAGAGTGATGATGATAGTACTGCTTGTAGTTGTATCGAATATGGAGGTAATTGTGAAGATTGTTTTATTAAAAAATTTAAACCTGAATATGATTCAGAAGATAATTTTAATTATGATAATTATAATGAAGCTTATCATAATGTATTTAATGATGATGGAAGAGAACATAATGAAAATTATCGTACTGCCAATACGAATAATTTTAATTATGAGGAAAACGAGAGTGATGATGGTTATGAAGGGTTTTTACAAAAGAGAGAATATGATAGTTACGATAAATATTTAGAAGACAAAAACATCCAGAATTTTGAATATTACGTGTCACAACGTTCTCAACGTAAATAATTTATATGTTATTTTTTTTAACTTATCTATAAATAAATTTATATTTTATTAGTTTATATTTATAATAAATAAATGTTAAATAAATATTTTTTATTGAAAAAAACTTTAATTTTTTTTTTGGTTGTAAACATATAAATATAGGTTGAATAAATCTAAATTAAGCTTTATTTATAATTTTATTATTGTAAGTAAAACAATTGGTTCTTTGTTTTCTTGTGCGTTAAACAGACAAAAGTCTGTTTAACAATCAAGAAAGCAAATACGCCAATTGTTTTAATGAGTGTTTTATTTTTTTTTGGCAAAAAACAATCTTTTGATATTGTTTGTTCATTGTACAAAATTTTTATCGAATGTCGTATGCATGAACTTTATTCTTATCAGAGTTCTATAAAAATCCTAACAAAATGTTTTCTGTGTTCTTTACGATTTATTCGTTTTAAAGCAAAAATTCAAACATTTAACCAAAACTTTAAACAAAACTTTTAAACTTAAACAAAATGATTCACCAAACTTTCTACACTTCTCTTGTCTTTATTTGCATCTTTGGGTTATTTTTAACTCATCTTTTTTATGGTGAATACAAAGATTGTATTTACCAATACATTATTAAAATTATCTATTCCAAAATATTCTTTTGGATTTGTGCGATTACTATTTATATAATAATTGTTTTTGTTACAGTTATTATAATTTCTTTACATTACTAGAATTTTCTTTATGAAAATTATCCAGAACGATTTATTTCATGATTGCTAATTATCTTAGACAATCAAAGAAATATACAAAGTCCAAATCAAGGTCTTTATTTTTTTAATTTATGTTAACAATCATATAATTATTGTTGAAGTTTTTCTCAACAAATATGTATTGATTTTATTTAATACTTTTGAACATGATGGAATTTTTATTTAATTAATTTATTATCTTCTTCAACCGACAAGCCAACAAGTATAAAGTTATCAATATATAAAAGAATTTACAAATCTTCTACTCACAACAAATTATCAAAGCAACATATTAAAACATGTCGATAGACTAGTTAAACTGGTCGAAAGACCTCTTGAATGTTTTTTTTAATTATATTTATAGTTTAATTTAATTATTTTATCTTCGTTTAGAATTTGACACTTTAGAATATTTATTATTCTATTTAATTATTTGTTTAGGATAATTTTTTTGAATTGAATGGGATGATTCATAAAGAATTAAAAGTTGAAAATTTATTTATTAATTATTAATGTATATACAAACTTAGAATTTACAATAAAAATTTTTACATAAATCTATATTGTGTAAATCCATTTTCTGTCTTGCCTATAAAGAATAGACAAGATTTTACACTAAACC